TCAACGGATCCCTCGAAGGCGGCGAGGTGCAGCAAAGAGAAACGCCTGGCAGAGCGGTGGTGGTAAAGAGTGAGCTGTGGCAGCGAGGAGGGATGTGGGGAGGGGGCCATGGTTACAACGGTAAACCCGTTGGTGCGTCCAGGAGCAACCGTTTCGCCCTCAAGAGGCCAATTAACCGTCTCGCCGCCGAACGTCAAAACCACTGCGGCATGCCTTCCGACCCATAGCACCAAGATGCTTTTCAACCTGTACTGCTGCACCCCGAAAAGTGTTCCCGCTCACCAACCACTTAGCCCATCCACGGCCGTAGACACGTCATAGCCGTTCCCACCAAGGGATGCCTCTAGATTTCTCCGCAACGCTTTCGCGTCTCCGAGGGCGACGGCCCGCCTGGCCAACGCAACCGGCGCCTCGAAGCTAGGGCCCCATGGTTGCCGCGCAGCCTGCGACTGAAGACAGGTTCAAATATTGATTGAGTTTGGTCGGGCCGAGATTTTGACCGTGACCGGACAGAGAAGAGGTTAAATCAATTTTGGCATGCTCCATGGGATTGGCGTTCTTCCCGAAATACCTCGACGTACAGAGTCCTACAGTAGGTTGTAGCCCGCGATGGGGCGAGTACACGCGGGGCGAGAGCTGCGCCATCGTTGATGATGCAGTGTATCGTTGTCCGTCGGTCCTACTCTGTGCCGAGTAAAGCCTAGTGCTTACGTTTCCGTTTCGAATACCCAACACCCAACAAGTCGAGTGTGATTCGAGGAATAGAAACAAGTTGCTCCCATGTGTTCCTCATGCCACCACCAACCCACTTGCTGTAGATAAACTGTGGGTTGGTGGTGGATACTCCCGCGAGAGCCGCTAAGGCCACGTTCATGTGCGAGAAGAACAGCTGTCCCGCCCCTGGGTGAGTGTCTGAGGGGGTTCTTTGATCTGTCTCTGCCGGGCTGAGAATCAATCATGAGCGTTATTTTGTACTCCGTGGTTCTCGAGTGTGGGCGCCCCTAGTGCGCATCCAACTTGCTGCGTATGCCCGGTCTTGCTGCGTGAGGGTTCGATAAGAAAGAAAGGTGTACCCGCTGCGAAGACCTGCTAAATTCCCGATCCCGCTCCGTCCTCGACAGCACATGAATACTTGCCAATCTTCAAATCCAACAGCAGTCATGCGTAAGCTGCAAATTATGCAAACGTGTTTTGACACGTCCACGATGATGGTTAACGGTAAGGAAGCGTCACATCGGCGGGTTCTTCATTCGTTGATGTAGGTTGGCCAAGCACTTGATAAACGTATCATACCGTGATAGCTCCCTGAGGGGGACAAGCTCAACGAGAGCATGGAAACTATGTAGTGATGGGAGCTACATGGAGAAATGTGGTAAAAGACCGGACGGCAGAGTTATGTACGCATGCATATACAGCAGTGTATGTGCAGCAGTAGCCGTAGGTACGCACGAAACTACGAGATTTATACCGACGGCTGGAGCTGCAAGATCCACGCAAAGACCGCACTCGATGCATCTCGCTTCGTGCAATCGCTCGCGTACCTGAGTGTTTGATAAGGTCGAGTTAGATGTCATTAGCGGCGTGGACTGCCAAAACTCGCGGGTCTCCGGCCAGGCGCATCGCCCGCCGTACACGTACTCTCGACGAGGAGTTCAGAGAGAGCATGAGAAGAGGAAGAAAAACGCGGCTCAATTCGTCTCGGTTGAGAATCATGTTCGTTTCCTCCACATACGGCAGCATGGATCATGTGTACATCTGCATCTCTTGATGCATGACATACCATCGATCACAGCATCAACAATGGGCCGTGTGCGGGGTTGCCGATGTGCGGACTCCTCGGAAGCTACTGGTAACTGGTATACCAGACGTCGGCTTTTCTGTGTACGTGTCCGCGCCGACCGGCTTGCAGTCCACGTCGCCTCGGGCATGCCTATCTATGGGCTGCGTATTCTACTATGCAATACGACGTCGTGTTGTGTGTGGCGATTTTTTGCAAAACGGAAACATGTGTGTACTGCTGTACCCCGTTCGACTAATAGGGCATGTCGAACGGGTACTGTTGTCTTCGTTCAGTTATCGTATGGATATGTATATACTGCTGTACTTCGATTGTCTAAGACTTGCTCCCGCATAATTTATTGATATAACAAACATTTCATAAGGTGTACCATCAAAGTTCCGATGGTCTAGTTGGTTATGACGCCACCTTGACATGGTGGAGGTCGCGGGTTCGAACCCCGCTTGGAATACTCTTTTTTCCATAGGCACACGATGCGAATGATGCGAAAGAAGGATCTGTCCTTCTTTGTGGGTGTACTATTTTGGTGGTATACGACTTCTCCTCGGGCACTATTATTATTTTTTTTTTGGTATTTTTGTATTTATTCTCACACACACCATCACACGCCGTAAAACTTCTTCGAAGCAAAAGCTTTTGTATCCCGTCATTCGCCCCCGAAGAAGACCGCGGCGGGAACTTTTGCTCTCTTTTTGTTTCTCTCCTGAAGAAGACAAGAAATAAATAATGAATGATGAATGAATGTTGTTAACCCCCTTACCACGCACAGAAAATTCGTCGGTCTTGCGAAATTTCTGAAATGTAAGAAAAAGAGCGAACGACACCTGCTGATTGGATGGTGCAGACAGTTCCATCCCTGGGTGCAAGTGCAAAGCTGCCTTCCCACTTGAGCCGTCTCTTGTCTATAATCCCTATCAATTGTCCCCTCGATACGAGGGGACACGAGGGGACAATTGATAGGGATTATAGACAGCAACTGGCGGGAGCGTGGTAAACGGGGCACGAAAAGGAGGTTTTCAAGATATTTCTCTAGAGGGAAAGCGAGACCTTCTAACTCAAGCCCTATGTTGCTTGGTGCCTCCTATCAACGGTGGTCTTGGTACTTCTTCCGCGCTTGCCCCTAGTAGCGCTTTCCACCCAAGGGTAAACAGACGCGGCGCAACTTCGCTGTTGAACCGGCGGCGTAATCGCCCCGCGATTCGACCTGTTCATTACCCCCATACTCCTCCACTCTACAAAGCATCCATACTAGACTAGAGTCGTCCCTGTGTACCCTGGCGGCACCCCCCTGGTCGAGTAGTGCAAAGGAGGAGACAATCATGCCAATCTTCGCGAGGTAAAGCAGGCGAAGAAGATGGGGACACAAAGTGTCGATCCCCAAAAGAAAGGCGATCCAGCCCTACCTATAATAATGAAGGGGTTAAATAAGTTTCCATAGCCCACAGCCGCCTAGTCTATCTACTGTTATTTATTATAGCGATGGGACCACACACTTCCCACCTTTGTTTCTTGGGAAGAACTTGATTTATTAGCTTCAATGTTCGGAGTGTATGTATATTTTTGCTACAAGATCCGTATTATTTCATTATTTTTTCAATTTATTTATTATTTGTGTTCGGGCATGATGAGGGCCCTCTCCTATTTCTCCGTCCACAACGAACGGTTAACCGTACATCAAGACGATGATGATGCTGTAGCCAGGGATAATAGTGCTTGTGAAAGATACCGCCTTATAAGCGCAAGCACGTGCGTACGCATGAATGTCCATGTGGACCGGGCTCGTCTTCTCGATCACAAAATAATAGCATAATATTTTGGTACGACTATTTTTTATTATTATTATGTATGTATGATGTATTGTGGTACCCTATAATAATACTGCAGCTTCCTCCGCCTTCACAGCGTTCCGATGGTCTAGTTGGTTATGACGCCACCTTGACATGGTGGAGGTCGCGGGTTCGAACCCCGCTTGGAATACTTTTTTTCGTTCAACACAGGTGTATGTATGGATGTATGGACGGATAAGATGCAACCCTCGGTCATTTGTTGTGGTCTCACGCCACAACCACCGCCACTGCCGCAAAAAAAAAGTTCCAACCAAAGCTACAGTAGCCAGTTCTTGCATCCCATCATTCGTCCCCGGGAAGAAGACGGAAACATTGCTGCTCAGTCCATGCGAACAAGACGTCAGTTTATTTGTTTTCGAGGATGTTACTGCGCAGCCACCGAGGGACTAAATCAATATTTGCTAAGCACGAGGACGTCATGCAGCGCTCCGATGGTCTAGTTGGTCATGACGCCACCTTGACATGGTGGAGGTCGCGGGTTCGAACCCCGCTTGGAGTACGTTTTTTCTTTCAACTGGATGGAGAAGATAGGTTGACCTGTCCTTGGGAAATTGGCCAATCAGAAAACTGCGGGCACCTTTTCTCTCTCTCTCTACAAATACATAAATAAATTCGAATTCCCACCCTACCACCGCCGCCGGGCCGTAAAACGTTGTCCTAGGCGAAGCTGTTTGTGTCCCATCATCCGTCCCCAAGAAGACCGGAATGAAACGTAAATTTGGTTGGAAGAACTTTTTTCGCTCAGTCATCAGTGACACTACAAGTTACTCTACTTGTACATACATACATGTATTCGATCGAGCATCATGAGGCCCGCTCCTGTTTTCCCTCCCCGATCCACATCAAGATTATTATGTGACCAAGGAAAACAGAAAATAATAGTGGTTTGGTGATGAAAGTCAAGTTGCTCCTGGAAGCAACGCGCGTGCTCACTCACTAGTCTTCTCGGGAAAGAAAACCCGACATGTTTCGGTACGCCGGGAACACCATTCATTATTTAGTTGCGAAACACGCATGGCGGCCATGGCGGCCATGGAGCACCCACGTATGTATGGCTTCGTCGAAGAGGATTTTATGGCCAAAGCGAGAGGTGCTGAATGGGATTAGGGCTAGGGTGATATAGAGGCCGAGAGGTGCCGGTGGTGCATTGTCGTCTCGCCGTGGCACCCAAGGGTGCAGCTACACGTCCGCCGACCGCTCGTTGGGTAGGAGTAACGTGGCCCCCGTCAAAAAAAAAAAAAAAAGTTGATCAGCCTGTACGACATGAACGTTTTG